CACGGGCCCAATAAATATTATTTTTTTTGTTTTAATTTATGTGATATAAATGGAATTTGAATATCAGTCGATTTTTTATATGTTTTCTTAAAAATATATTTGAAGTTATTAAATTGTTGTGATTTATAGTATTTTTGCGTTAGTTTTGAATAATATAGGTTACTCATGTTTCAATTCACGTGAATAATCATAAATATTTTCAGTTGTTAATTTATTGTGAATTCTAGAAATTTTGACGTTATTTTCAAATAGTACATGTTACTTATTCTATTCCAATTAGTCAACCAAATTTCTTATATGATTTAAAAATATTTTTAATTGCTAATTATTGTGATTTATAGCATCTTTTATGTAACTTTTAATAATATATAATTTGTTCAAATTCATATGACAATGATAAGATTTCAAGAGTCAACGCAATAAAAATTTAAATTTTTTAAAAAGTTGTACCTCTAATATATTTTTGTAGCTAAAATATACTCTCTCCGTCCACTTGTATTTGTCATGTTGCGCTTTTTGAAAGTCCATTTGACTAATTTTCAAAGTTAAATCAGATTGTATTAATTCAATATTTTAAACGAAAAAATTAAATATGCAAAATCTATACAAAAGACTATAAATTGTAATTTTTTGCTTATGAATATGATGAAAAAACACATTGTAAACTAATAGTTAAAATTCTTATAGTTTGACTCTAAAAAGGAAATCATAACAATTAAAAGTGCATAGAGAGAATAATAAATAGGCAATTAAATTTCAAGAAATTTAAAATAAAAGGTTGAAAAAAAAATTTACATAGACAACATATATTGAAAATTGAAAACATATAAATAATAAATGGGCCCAAATGAGGTCAAATTTTTTGGCTAATAAAGTAGTAGGTAATTAATGGTGTTAAATTGTCCAATAATATAAATTTTAAAGTTACAACCATAAAAGAAGAATATACAACACTATCAAACACATATGATCCAACACTTGTCATGTGCTAAGTAGTAGATATTCCTATTTATTATATATAGTAATATATATATATAGATCGAAATCATTGAGTTCACCTATATACTATATATACCTCTGCCCACTCATTTTTGTTCCTCAATTATTATTTTTAACCTTTTTGCAATCCTTTCAAAGTACTATTTTAAACTCTAGAACCCTAAAGTGTGCTTTACATGTGTGTCATAAAAATAAAACTTTCTTCCACATTCAGTAATGTCCCATAATTGTCCCTCATTTTTTTCTTTTTGTAACTTTATGCTATAATGATTAACGTGAATCTCACAAGGGCATAATAGGAAAGTACAACATGTGATAGTTTCTATAAATATATAATGATAATCTAAAATAAGAAATCTACTGCACCAACAAGGATCGTAATGAAATGGTAAGTACTTTTTCATTCTTAATCAGGGATTTCGAATTGGAGTTTTCTTGGATACGCAAGTCACCTTTATTAAGAGTGTTTTATCCCTTTACTTACCGGCGCGAGATTTAGTCGGACTCCAATGCGCGTGGTACTGGTAGTAGACACCAAGTGAGAAAAAAAAAACTAATTTTCGTATCAAACAAAGAAATTTGATTTTAAGATTAATTAGCAAAACAAAATATACTAATTAATTATAATTAAAGAATATAAATTTTAATTAGTTCGTAACACAGGTCATGTATATTTTTAAAACTTTTTTTAGGACAGATACGTACACTAATTACATATCCAGCTCATTTTATATGGAGGATGGCCTACTTATAACTAATATATCCACATATATAACCAGTTCATTGTCACAAATTTAAAAATTGCTTTGTGCACAATTTTCTTTAGCAATATATGATGTGAAAGCTTTTAAATCATTGTTTTAACAATTAATTCAAAACAATACCAAAAAAGAAACAAATAACAAATCTTATGACTTGGTTTTTCTATAAAAAAAATACATAAATGTGTTATTTAATTTGATTTCAGTTGATATCTTTGATCTTCAATTTTAGATGTTCACAAATAGATATTTAAATTTATATAAAGTTAAACAAGTAGATATACATGTCATACATGACAATTCACGTGATGTTATATCAATTGAAGTACATAAATATCAGTTGAGAGTAAGTTAAAAAACACTTTTAACAAATCTTATGGCTTAGAAATGCACTGAAAAATGGCTATAGCTAATGATAAAGATAAATTAAAAATAAGTAATAAATTATTTATTGGCTTTCAAATTGAACAAATAATAATGGACAAATAAAAAAAAAACAAATAAATTACTTGTTAGTTAAGACAAGTTTTCCAGGTCAGTGCCAATAAATAGATAAAGATTCTTTAACGTACAGAAGAAAGCCAAGACCAGATATGCATGGCAGTGTTTTCCCAAACTTAAAAAAAATTCACAACCCACATCACCATAAATTAAATAATATATATCTCATCAATAGTTTAAATAGTTGGGAATTCAAGGTATGATTTAGTTTAATTTGTTTGTCCACATTAAAAAGATTCATGATCAATTTAAATGAATTTAACCTTTAAAATTCTTATCACTAAATTCAAAAGTTCTTATTTTAGGAAAAGTATATTCAACCAATCAAATATTATTTGTAAAAGATTATAACTAAATATAGCTTTGCTTTTAAAATTTTAAATAAAGTGAAAAAATATTTTTAATAGTATGTAATAGCTTGTATATGTGATCTATGGAATTATGTGACTATCTATTTTGAGATATTACTCTTTTAGAACAAAATTGTATGATTGAGTTAAATTAAGGTATTTTGCTAGTTCTTAATAATTAGGGGTATAAACCATATTTTCATGAATGATGAGTTTATATGAATTCAACATCTGAATATAAGTACTCGGTTATAATCTGATAATCGATTTGCAAAAAATATTTCAAGACCAACATTACATTCGAAGTTGAAGAAAAATTTAACAAGACCTGACCTGACCACGCAACCAAGAAACCGACCTTGACATTGGGAGTCAAGTATTAGGTCAAGAGTCGGATTCTAGATCTCAAGATGAAAATTGGGGTTGGGAGTTGCGATGATTTTTTAGTCGAATCTCCATATTAGGGTCAAGGGTTTGGTCCTTGGAGGGGGGGGGGGATCAGAATTTGGTTCTGGATCATGAACTAGGGTTTAGGGTCGAAGTTGAAAGTTAAGACTCGAGCCAAATTTTGAATAGAGGTCAGGATTGGACCCCAAATGAGGTTAGGAGTCCTGTCACGGTCAAGAGTTGGGTTTTGAGTTGAGAGATGTGGTCGAAGTCGGGAGTTGAGTCGTGGATCGTAGCATCAAGGTTCCCCGTTTGAGTTCGAAGTCGAGTCCCATGCTGGGGGAGTCCAGGGTCTAGAAAATATTTTATTTCACATAGAATAATCATTTTTCTTAAATTTAAGGAAAATATTTATTTTAAAAAAATTAAATCAATCAAATCTGAAAAAATTTGAAAACATCTCATATTTTCCTTTCATACGGTACCACAGACCTCAGATATTCTCTCAATGTCCAAATTGTACTCAAATTCTAATTAACGGGTCAAAGATGAGTTCAAAAGTCTAAATTTTATCCATTTGAAAATTATTCCCCATACAATCAAACATAAACGAATTGATAAGCTATGAGCTCATGTTGATAACACTATCCATAATATATATATATAATAATAAGTACTCCACTAATCAAAAGGAATTTCTTTTATTAAAAAATCTTCCACACAATCCCAAATATTTGTCACTCCATCAATTGCATTTTAAAAGAATCTTGAATCATTTGATCAAGTTGCATGTACACACTAAAATTTAAAAAAATAAAAGAAGGGAAAAAAAATTAAAATGGGACCAAATTGATTAATTTTTTAAAAAATGGGCAATCATCGAGTGCACCTATGTGCAAGGAACACTTTGCAATCATCCTTTGGAGCGATGGTTGGAATATACGAGATATCATCACAGCCGTCGGTTTTGTGTCTCTTGAAATCAATCAGAGCCGTAAACATAGCAATGAAAAGCATCAAGTGGTTAATAGCATACTTCTGGCCCACACATGCATGGGGCCCAGCTCCGAATGCTAGAAAGTTCTTTTTGTAAACCCGTTCCTCTTGTCTCTCCTCCATGAACCGGTCCGGGTCAAATTTCTCCGGTTCAGGAAAACCCTGAAATGATGAGTCAAAAACCGAAGGGAACACAATTGTTCCTTTTGGGATAACGTAATCTTCGGTTAACCGGAATTCTTCGCCGGCAATATGTGGCACCATAGTTGCCGGAGCTCTGATTCTGATTATCTCACGCGCCACCGCTTCCAGGTACTTCATTTCCCTGAGCATCTCCACCGTCAGCGGCTCCTCAGATTCTGGCGACCAGAATTTCGCTACCTCCGACCGAACTTTCTCCAGAACTTGTGGGTGAGAATCTAAAAGCACGATTGCCCATAACAGAGCAGAAGTAGAAGCATCTTGAGCAGCAAAGAGGAAGTCGAACAGGTAACCTCCAAGTTCCTTGTTAGTGTACTGGAATGGCTTTTGTAATCCATTGTTCTTAGCTTCGTTAATCTCTCTTAAATTTTCCTGCATCCAGAAATCAATCAAGCATGTGGGTTCTTCTTCGTTTTTCATCTTGTTTAAGCTCTGTTCCACGCAAACAGAAAGGGCGTCGATTAATCTCCCAACTGCTAATCTAGCATTTCTGAAGGCAAAACCCGGTAAATCTACAGGGAGTTTCATTAACCCAACATTGAAGTAATTGTAATCAACATTGAATCTCTTTCTGGATTCTCCATCCAAATATGGACCAACGAACACAGTCTGGGAAGTATCTAAGTTCATATCCCGGCAAAGTAGGCGAAGCGGGATTGGGGTGTTAGGGGATTTGGATGCTTCATCTAACCAGGACTTTAAGTATTTGATAATAATCCTCTGTTGGATATCAGTGTAAGTTCCAAGAGCTTTAGGAGTAAAATTTGGGGCAATTCGTCGGCGAAGGTCTTTATGTTCTTGGCCAAACATGTAAATCAAGTTATGCTCGCCGAATAGCTTTTTCCCAAAAGGGTGACCGATAAGATGGAAAGCGTCGGGGCGGACATTGGCAAAGACCTTATGGGAGAGGTCAGTTGAGTGGATATAAAGAATGAACTTACCGATTATATAGTTAACTGAGAACCCATGTCCGGTAGACTTAGCTAAAGCTGATTGAAGGTCCCAGAATTTAGTTGGATTTGTGACTAAGGGAATTACGTTGCCAAGAAAGGGGAATACAAGAGTTGGGCCAGGAAGAAAACGCTTCTTCTTGATGTAAGACATCTGTTCAAGAAGAAGTAGAAAAGCTATGAAAGAGAAGAAATATGGTATCCATGGGGATAACAAGACCCAAATGGATGCCATGTGCAGTATAGCTCTCTTCTTCCTTAGCTCTCCACCGGAAACTGTTTGATAATATGGATTTAAATGGTGTGTAGGGTTTATATAGTAGGATGGAAGAAGGAAGAAGGGTCCATATATGAAGGTTGGATAGGTGGGTCAAACAAGAAAGCTGAGAGAGAAAAATATAGTGAAAACTGTGCAAGAAGTTGGAAAACCAAATCTGAATTATATTAGGCAGAAATTTCAGATTGTACGGTGTCAGTTAACCTGTTTACAGGTAGTCTTGGTCGAGAAGGTGAATTTTGTTCAGTTTTCTAGTCTGAGTTTCACTTTTGGAGATGGAGAAAGTGTTATATTGGGTATAAGAAAGCGAAAAACGAATTGATTGACTATGGTAAAGGTTCAGCTCACATTTATAACAAATTTAGCTGTCGTTTGGCATGCATTGTATCCTGAAACTATTATACCTTATGTTAAACGAGACTCGTTAGGGAATAGAGAATGATTATTTAGGGTTGGTGGGGTCGAAATCGAGCTGGTCATACTAATAGGAGTGGTCCAGTGGAGGATTCCAAGACATTTGCAAAGAGACAAAAGCATATATTACATGGGGAATTTGCTCTTCTCCTTTGAATCTCTCTGTCCCAAAATCCTTTTAACCTATGGGACCAGTTTGCACACCTCGATTCCATCGGACATTTCATTACCGCTCACCAATTCAAGTATCGAGTAGTTATGTGCTTAACTATACATTTTCTAAGGTCGGATTACTAACAATCTGATGTTAAGATACGTTTTATCTGTTTACTAGAGTGACAGATACCTATAAATTCTTAAAGGTTGCTAATAATTGGTGATATTTTAATACAAGTTGTAATGTAACATGTTGGAAGAATGTTTACTCTTTTTTGCGTGAGTAGGGTAGTTTTTGAATGCTATTGCTAGTGGCTTAGTAGTGATTGAGAAACTATTAAAATAACCCCAATTGTTTATTCAATCTTATCAAATAAACAAAAAATTATAAAATCGCATAATAAATTATTACAAAGTTATTTATTTTTCACTTAAGTAATTGTTTCATCTAACTTTAATTTAATAAAAAAAATTGAACATAAATTGTAGTGTACTAGTCTTTAATATAATCCTCCCACATAGTACGAACAATTTCCTCACGTAGAACTTGTATTTCTCGATCATGTGACCGAGAAGACGAACCAACATTGTTACTTTGAGCCATTTGTTGGTCAATATCCTCCGCAACTATATCTTCATGTTCATAGACCATAAATATTTCATCACTACTTGGTATTCTCGCAAATAATTATGTAACACTGCACAAGGAATAACAATGTTCACTTGTGTATCAATATCATAATGGTTCATGCCTTGTTTCAGTATTCTAAATCTATTTTTCCAAGCTCCAAAAGTCC